GTTTAGTATAGATGGAGAAACAAAGACATATTGTAAACAAAATACTATTTTAAATCAAACACATGCATGCTAGTTCAAAGGTAAAGCACACAGTGTTGTTATCGCACATTGTCAGCTATGAGGCCTTTCTCATTGCCAGCTCCTATCTGCACTGTAAATGGGCGACCTTGGAGGAACTGGAGAAGGACCCACGCATTAGCCAAAAAATGAAGCGCTTCAGAAACAAGCAGGCGCAAATGAAGCACATTTTCACAGAGGTGCGTCTGCCAAAACATGCTGCAATTTGTTTGTGGTTCATTTAAAGTTGTAACCAGGACATGCACCAGCTATACTAGGATGTAAAAGCTAAGATGCATGTGGAAAATTCAAGAATTTTGGATTTATGTTTCAAGTACTTCACCTTTAAATCAATGCTTTTGTCATAGACTGTCTACATATGTATTATTTGATTAAATCTGGTTGAGATGATGATGTGTTTCTACTCAGCCGGATGAAGACCTGTTTAATCCAGATTATATTGAAGTTGATCGGGTTTTAGAGATCGCTATCACCACAGATACAGAAACTGGAGAGGTGAGGTGCTCTTCAAATGATCTTTAAAAAAAAAAAGAAACAAAGAAGCTGTTATATATACTTTCGGTGCCAGTCTTTTGATGTTTGGTTTGTTTGCATGTTAACAGGAAGTTACACACTACCTGGTGAAATGGTGCTCTTTGTCATATGAGGAGAGTACTTGGGAGCTTCAAGAAGATGTTGACCCTGTGAAAATCAGAGAGTTTGAAGACCTCAAGGAAATTCCAGAAATCAAGCATGTGGTAAGTCCTTGAATGCAAATGATTGCATGGTTCAGCTGCAGGTTTTATCGTACGGTCCAAAACATTTTTATTCTGCGTTGCTTTGTAGCATGTACAGGTGCATCTCAATAAATTAGAATGTCATGGAAAAGCTCATTGACTAGGAAAAGAAGTGGCACTTCTCTTATCTTAATACAGGAAAGGCCTCTGCCCGAACAGTGGCAAAAACTGGAGAAGTCAAGAGAATACAGGAATGGGAACCAGCTGCGAGAATACCAGTTAGAGGGAATGAACTGGCTTCTTTTCAACTGGTACAACAGGTGAAACAAACTTTTAATATCAGCACTGGTAGAGTCCCTAAACTTCATGATCTTATTTTAAGGTATGAAGTCACTACTTAAGATTAAACTAAGGCTAATAATAATTATTACAGTGACGAAATGTATTTTTTATTATTTAAATTGATTAGTAAAATAAGAAATACTTGGACTTTCTCTATTTGTTTTATTAATTCATCTTGCATTTAATTTGATGAAAGGACTGTCAATTTCAACATATTTATTTAGTGTGATCTTTCTTTTGTCTGACACAATGTAATGAATTGTCTTTTGTAGGACATTTGTCTGCACATATTATAATAATTATATAAATCTCAACATTTTAAACATTATAACAAGAATAATAATATTAATCAATATATAATTTGATTAATATATCAGCATGTAATTAATTTAATAATAATAATAATTACTTAAAGGGGTCCTATTATGCTCTTTAATTTGCTCATGTCTTGAACTTGTTTTGGGGGTGTACTAGAACATGCTCTCATGCTTGGTGGTTCGAAAAATGCATTATTTTGTACATAATTTACATTATTACAATACCTTTCTCACCATCCTGGCACAAACGGCTCAATTAGTTCCGGGTTTGATGAAGGCCCGCCTTCCGAAAAACGAAATGTGATGTGATTGGTGAACAGCTTAGACGATGTTTCAGTACTGCCGCCAAAGCAGCAAGTTCCGTCTGCTCCGGTTTAGTTAAGGATGGTGTCAATATTGCCATATCAATTTGAGCCGGATTCAGACCCAGAGAATATTGAACAAGAGGATCGATCAGAACCTTTGCACGCACGGATATTGCAAGACATATTAGAGTGGTAACGTTATTGTTTTTTTTGTTGTTTTTTTTTGGCTAAATGACGTTTTAGATAGGATGTCAACAACCGCTTAAAAATAACTGCATTTACTATGTACAGAAAAGTGCACATGTATTATTTTTATTGTTATTTAATTCTAACATTATAACATGAATTGCAGTGAAACTGTTATACAGTTGAATTTATTTATACCATAGTCCAGTGTTTCCCAGGCGGCATATATATGCAAACTCATTCTCTGCCAGCAGGAGGCGCTATTGGAGTGGTAGAGATCAAGGTTTCCCCGGTAACGGCTGTACACAAAGCAGCGCTCCGCTCAAAAAAACACTGCTTTATCAGACATTACATGCAAGATTAAATGAAAATGACATCCAATTTTCTCCAATGGGAAACACTAGTCTCATAATTGAAGTGTAAATTCTGCAGATTACATCATTGTCCAGTATTGTACTGTCAGCAATTTATTATAAAAACGTTTTCATAATTGTAACATACATATTTACATACATAATTATTCAGGTGCATGTGTAATAACTTGCGAAAAGTTGAGGCTACAGCAGCACTTCTTCTTCGTCGTCTTGTCTGATGCACTCAACCAAGCGTTCTAACCACAACCTCGCCCCTCCCCACCCTCCAACCATTCGAATTTCCATAGGATTATTGTAATGATATTCTAATGGGCCGCTTTGTGATATCACAAAACCCGGAAAACAAACACTGTAGTCCAAACGAGCCGTTAGTTGTAGTTCTTGAAAAGGGATTTTTTTTTAAACGAAATATCTCCCTTTGGAGTGGACTTTGAGATTTGTAAGTTTGAAGATCTTTTTTATGCCCAAACATACACACTACACACTGACTAAAATTCAAAAAGTGAAAAAGCATAATAGGACCCCTTTAATTATGACAATAAAATAATTTACAGCTCTAGCTGAAATCAAATGCAATTAATAATAACCTTATTTACATACATTTAACCAATCCCGTAATGTTACCTTATAAAAAGCTTAGTAACTGTATAAAAACAAATAATATGGGTAGTGATAATAATCACAATATCATACAATCAAAAAGATACCCAAAACTGCAATCTGACATGAATAATAAACACCTGAACCTGTTCCTCTTGGTGTAGGAAAAACTGTATTCTGGCTGATGAGATGGGACTTGGGAAGACCATCCAGTCCATCACGTTCCTCTATGAGATTTTCCTCATGGGTCTAAGGGGACCTTTCCTCATCATCGCCCCGCTCTCCACTATCACCAACTGGGAGAGAGAGTTCCGCACATGGACTGAAATTAACGTCATCGTCTATCACGGCAGCCAGATCAGTCGGCAGATGATCCTGCAGTATGAGATGTACCACCGAGATGAACAGGTGGGTTGAACAGAGTGATTCATTTTGAGCTGTCAGTAGTGAGTTGAACAGAAGCACAGTATAGTTACATTAAAGGTGCAATAGGTGATTGTCTTCAGAAACATTTTTTGTTATGCTGGTTGAAAGTCTCTTCACATACCGATAGCAATCATTAAGTTAAGTGGTCTGAATGTATTTATATATTCTGTGGAAGGCCTATAAGACCAAGAAATGTTCGTCCAATCAAAATGCTCGGTCCGAGCATTTTGATTGGCTTTCTTACCTGGCTGTCAACATATGTATTTGCATACCTCTGCGCACCCTGTTCGCGCAGACGGAATACGTCATCAGCGCATTCACGTACGCTGTGCAGACAGAGCAAGCGAGAATGGCAGGCAAACATCAACAACCTGACCTTCCTTCCTGGTATTGTAGTACTTTTACTAACTGTACTATAAACTTTTCTCACCGGTTAATGAAACATGTATTGTAGTAATGTTGTCTCTGGTCGTCTGGTCTGTGTGTGCGTTCATGCATTTAGGAGGCGTGGCTTTGGACGGTGATTTGCAGGGAGGGTGGGACATTCGCTTTCAGTGCTATCAGGCTAAAGTTAGCATTTTCCAAGATCTCCTACTGCACCTTTAACCAAAACAAAATTTACACTTTTTTTTTTTTTTTATATACCTTTATTGCTATCTGTTTGTGTCTGCTATTTATGTGTTGGCAGTTTTTATCAAAAAAGTAGTCACTAAACTTGTAAACTATGTAGACTTAGAATAGCATATAATTTATTTTTAAGAAATTAATACTTTTATTTAGCAAGGATGCATCAAATTGATAAAAAATGAAGACGTTTATAATGTTACAAAATATTTCAATTTCAAATAAATGTAAATGCTTTTAAACTTGTATTCATCATAGAATCCTGAAAAAAAATTTATCACAATGTATATTAGCATATTAGAATGATTCCTGAAGACTAAAAATGCAGATTTGCCATCACAGGAATAAATTACATTTTAAAATATATTTAAATAGAAAGCAGCTATTTTAAATTGTAACAATTACACAATTATCACAACAATACTGTTTTTATTGTATTTTTTTTTTTATTAAACAAATGCATACTTGGTGAGTATGAGACTTTTTTTTTTTTTTCAGAAACTTTGAAAAGTTTTACGAACCCCAGACTTGTTAACAGTAGTGTAACAAACACAAGAATTCAATGTGTGTTGCTTTTTATGCCCACATAATACATATCTAGGGCATTCATATAATTTTTTGCCCAAACCCCGGTTAATGTCTAACCTTACTTTACACACCTATTTTACCAGAAGGAGAAGGTATTGTAGGCACATTATATTTGTTAGTACAGTGTATACAATGGGTCTTTCTCTTGCTCCTTCAGGGAAACATTGTGTCTGGTCAGTTTAAGTTTCATGGCATCATCACTACATTTGAAATGATAATGGCCGACTGTCCAGAGCTGAAGAAGCTTAACTGGTGCTGTGTGGTGATCGACGAGGCCCATCGCCTAAAAAACCGCAACTGTAAACTACTGGAGGGACTCAAACTCATGAACCTGGTAATTTTTTTTTTTGCTCATTTATGGACCATGAAACATACACAGACGTTTTTGTCATTTGATGTATGTGTCATTTATAATATCAACTGCTCTACAAATGAGTTCAGGTCTAAATGCAGAAAAGGGGAAGTGAAGCCATCTGTGAGCTAAACTACAGTGCTATCTCTTATGCACACATCTTATTTATCTGCCGAGTTCTGCTTCACTGCATTTACATACGCACATCCTCTCTGGACACAGAATTAGTAATCTCATCTCTCACTTTACATATTACTGCAGCCATGGCCAGTGTGTGCATACTGAGCTACATTTGACGCAGTGCTGTTTTCAAGAAAATAATCTCTCACAGCTGATTAGGTGTATTTGATATACAGGGGTTTAAAAAGTATTTGGACACTCAAGCCACTTTGCAGTAGTGACTGACATCCAGAAAGTGTATAAATTGTGTTTTCACTATATTTAAATTTGTATAATATTGTATATATTATATATATATATATATATATATATATATTGTATATATTATACAATATATAATATACACATATTTTAATATTGTGTATCTAATGCATTTATTTTTATGCAAGACTTCAGAGTCTAAAAACTATTTTTGGTGGACAGTATAGAAAAGTGTCCTCATGTTGGAGCAAAGTCCAGCTCAATGTTTCCCAGTGTTGTATCTCCATCTTCATCCAGAGAGAGTTGGTATAGATATCTTAAAATATAAATACATTTTAGTGAATCGGTTTTTTACTATATTGTTGATCAAATAAATGCATCTTTGGTGACCATAATTCTTTTTTCAAAATCATTAGAAAAAATCTTCCCAACCCCAAACTTTTGTGTATATTCATCAAAATATGCATGGCTGAAACAGTAAACCACATATGAGAACTATGGAGGAGAAAGAGTGGAGTTGGTCATTTCCATGCATAAAGAATGAAGATGCGAAAAGGAAATGTCTTCTTATCTGAAATTTGTATAATGCATGTAGGTATACGTATGAACGTATTGATGGGAGAGTTCGAGGGAATCTCCGGCAGGCTGCCATTGATCGCTTCAGTAAAGTGGACTCTGACCGCTTCGTGTTCCTCCTCTGTACACGAGCAGGAGGTCTGGGCATCAACCTCACCGCCGCTGACACGTGTATCATATTCGACTTATAATATACACATATTTTAATATTGTGTATCTAATGCATTTATTTTTATGCAAGACTTCAGAGTCTAAAAACTATTTTTGGTGGACAGTATAGAAAAGTGTCCTCATGTTGGAGCAAAGTCCAGCTCAATGTTTCCCAGTGTTGTATCTCCATCTTCATCCAGAGAGAGTTGGTATAGATATCTTAAAATATAAATACATTTTAGTGAATCGGTAGGCTGAACTTAATGTTTCTGTGTGTCTTCTCTCGCAAGGAACATAAAGTCCTTCTCACAGGAACTCCTTTGCAGAACTCGGTTGAGGAACTCTTCAGCCTGCTTAACTTTCTCGAACCCTCACAGTTCCCTTCCGAGACCACTTTCCTGGAGGAGTTCGGAGACCTGAAGACGGAAGAACAGGTGAGAGCTCAAATGCCTTGATAGGAAGCTTGTTATGCACTGGATAAACATCTATACACCTTTACCTCCAATTACCCAAGCCACCTAGAGGATAGTAACATCCTTGCTAAAATCCTAAGTGGCCAAGGCCGATAAACTCAAAATAGCCAAATAAACTACTTGCAGTGTTGGAGTATTTTTGTAGGCCAAAAGTTCGCATCACCTTGTTCCCTTTGACACAAAGCCAGTAGGATTTTTACATTGGATTTTGGATTTTTGTTGATGTGTTTCCTTTTTCAGTGTGATGTTTAATGTCCCTGACAACCTCTGTAGTCCCATTTATCCATTTGTTAGTAGTACCACATCTTTTTCAAGATGCATTAAAACATAAAAAAGTTACTGATGTTAATCATGTTGTAGTATAAAACTTGAAAATATCTTGAGCTTTTGTTCATCACAGACTTTATTTTAGGCATTTAACCAAAATCCCTTTCAAAAAACCCTTTGACTTTGGGAAGATGGGAGTATAAAATGCTAATTTATTATCAGGTTTTAGGACTTTATATTAGGCAATATGGCCTGATTATTGTAGAATGATTATGTGCCCAGTTTTAACCTCAGAAACATCAACATACCCACAGGTAAAGAAACTGCAAACCATTCTGAAGCCCATGATGCTGAGGAGACTGAAGGATGACGTGGAGAAGAATTTGGCCCCTAAAGAGGAGACAATCATTGAGGTGGAGCTCACTAATATTCAGAAGAAATACTACCGCGCCATTCTGGAGAAAAACTTTGCCTTCCTTGCCAAGGGAGCAAACCAGCACAACATGCCCAACCTCATCAACACAATGATGGAGCTTCGCAAGTGCTGCAATCACCCATACCTCATTACAGGTGACATCTGATGTTTAGATCAACGAGCAGGAGGTCTGGGCATCAACCTCACCGCCGCTGACACGTGTATCATATTCGACTCTGACTGGAATCCGCAGAACGATTTGCAGGTGAACAAATAGCATCTTTGATGTACAGCATAATTGACACTCTCTCCCTTTAGAAATTTCCATACCAAGTATTAAAAAATAAAAAAAAACATAAATATTACATTTGTTATGAACATGCTTTGAATTCCACAGGCTCAAGCTCGCTGCCACCGGATCGGTCAGAGCAAAGCGGTAAAAGTATATCGCCTTATTACACGAAACTCATATGAGAGGGAGATGTTTGACAAGGCCAGTTTGAAACTGGGATTGGACAAGGCTGTTCTGCAGGACATCAACCGCAAGGGCAGTCTCAATGGGGTGAGGGATCCACAACTTTTAACTTTTTCTTCCAGTGATGAATTGAGAAAACGTATCTGCCAAAGGTGGAATAGCATATCGTTGTTGACCCAAAAATACAAACTCTGTTTACTCAACTACGTAAGATTATACAATTTCTTTGAAGGATAAATATATATATGTGTGCTAGTTTATGCTAGGACTTGTTACATTGACTAGGACAGTGTTGTCTAATTCCTGTGTCGTCCTCTTTCAGGTTCAGCAGCTGTCTAAGATGGAGGTGGAAGATCTTCTCAGGAAGGGAGCGTACGGTGCGCTTATGGATGAGGAAGATGAGGGCTCTAAATTTTGTGAGGAGGATATTGATCAGATCCTGCAGAGACGCACACAGACCATCACAATCCAGTCTGAGGGGAAGGGATCAACTTTTGCCAAGGTACACTTATCGATATACATTACCATTAATGTTTGGGGTCTATAAGATTTTTTTTATGTTTTTGAAAGTAGTCTCTGATGCTTACCAAGGCGGCATTTATTTGATCAACAGTACAGCTAAAACTGTAATATTGTGAAATATTTTTATAATTCAAAAGTACAGTTTTCTGTTTGAATATATTTTAAAATGTGATTTATTCCTGTGATGCAAAGCTGAATTTTCAGCATCATTACTCCAGTATTCAGAAGAAATACTACCGCGCCATTCTGGAGAAAAACTTTGCCTTCCTTGCCAAGGGAGCAAACCAGCACAACATGCCCAACCTCATCAACACAATGATGGAGCTTCGCAAGTGCTGCAATCACCCATACCTCATTACAGGTGACATCTGATGTTTAGATCAAGTGTGAATATGAAATATGTTGTTTGCAGTTCTCTACATCTCAGTAGCCACACCTCGAATTTGTAGCGCTGATGTAGTCTCTCGTCTCCCTTCTGTCAGGTGCTGAAGAAAAGATCCTTGAGAGCTTCAAGAAAACCTACAGTTCAGAGGCTGCAGATTTTCAGCTGCAGGCAATGATCCAGGCTGCTGGTAAACTAGTGCTTATTGACAAGTTGCTGCCCAAACTGCTGGCCGGAGGACATAAAGTGCTGGTGTTTTCCCAGATGGTCCGGTGCCTGGATATACTGGAGGACTACCTCATTCAGAGGAGGTGAGACAGCTGCTTATTATACAGTGCCATTAGTCATGCTTCTATAAAAAAAGTTGAGATGTTTTTGAGACTGTAAGTGAATGAGGAAATAGACTCCATGTCAACATGAAATCAAAACCTGGTTTTCTTCACTTGTTGCTTTTCTTCAGGGATCCCATAGTAGTGGTAATTTTATTTTTTAAATTCTTAAAAAAAACAAAAAAATTTTTTTAAGTAATAGAAATTTTTATGAAAAAAAAAAAAGGAACTAGCTATTCTCATGTCCAAAATATTAGCTGGAAATTCATTAGTCAAAATGTGTGGGAACCCTGTGTCTGATTATTACAACATTTAAAAAGAGGTTTGGGTTCAGTAAGATTTTTTTGAAGAAACACAAAGGATGCAATAAATTGTGCCAGCAAAGACATTATACTGTTACAAAAGATTTCTATTTCAAATAAAATGTTCTTTTTACCTGTCTATTTATCAAAAACTCCTGATAAAAAGTAACCATTGACACAAAAACATTGAAAAAAAAAGAAGAAATATTTCTTGAGCCACAAAATCAGCATATTAGAATGATTTATGAAGGATCATGTGACACTGACGACTGGAGTAATGATGCTGAAAATTCAGCTTTGGCAACAGGAATAAATTACATTTTAAAATATATTTAAATAGAAAACCATTATTTTAAATGGCAATAACATTTCAGAATATATATATGTATATATATATATTTAACCATTAATGTTTGGGGTCTATAAGATTTTTTTTATGTTTTTGAAAGTAGTCTCTGATGCTTACCAAGGCGGCATTTATTTGATCAACAGTACAGCTAAAACTGTAATATTGTGAAATATTTTTATAATTCAAAAGTACAGTTTTCTGTTTGAATATATTTTAAAATGTGATTTATTCCTGTGATGCAAAGCTGAATTTTCAGCATCATTACTCCAGTCTTTAGTGTCACATGATCCTTCAGAAATCATTCTAATATGCTGATTTGCTGCTTGAGAAACATTTCTTATTATCAATGTTGAAAACAGTTGTGCTGCTTTACATTTTTTTGTGTTTTTACAGTGATAGATTTTTTTCCAGGATTATTTAATGCATAAAAGGTTTGAAACAGAAAACTTAAAATCTTTAATTATCACCTGTGATAAGTGTAATGCATCCTTGCTGAATAAATGTATGAATTTCTTTTAAAAACAAATGACTGACACCAACCCTTTGTGGTAACTTGAGATTGGTCAAATGTTTTCTGAGACCTAGTATGGATCAAATCCGATTGCCAATGTTGTTTTCTTGGTATCTCTGTTCATGTTGTTATATTCACCACTGTAGGTCCTAAATATGGCGGATGAGTGGAAAAGTCATGTGATTGAACAAGATGAATAAGCATTGCTTGTATAAGTAAAACACAGGCCTTAACATGTGATCTGTATTTTGATAAAGTGCTCATAATCCTTTATTTTTTACCAATTCCAGGCTAGCTTTGTGTCTTCAGGGAACCGTACAGACATTTCTTTGGATGATCCAAACTTCTGGCAGAAGTGGGCCAAAATTGCTGAACTGGAAATTGACTCCAAGGCAGAAAAGGTAAAAATCGTAATGGTTTAAAAGCCAAAGCTTTGCATATATGAGCTCACCATGACTCAGATGGTGTAATGCAAGAGAATCAACTCATAGACTAGAGAGAGAATAGGGGTCATTTGAATATCAGCAGAGTCAAAACAGATGGGTTGCTTTAATGTGTGATTTTTAATGGGCACATTGTAGACGGTTTGCATATTGGTGACATTTAAGGAGTAAAATATTGAGACGGCAACACTTTCTGACTCATGTCTTTGTCTCTGCCAGGAGAGTCTGGTGATCGACACTCCTCGCGTACGGAAGCAGACGCGTCACTATAATTCGTTTGAGGACGATGAACTCATGGAGTTCTCTGAACTGGATAGTGACTCAGAGGAACGGCCCTGTCGCACAAGACGTCTCAACGATCGCAACAGACGCTACCTCCGAGCGGACTGCTTCAGAGTGGAGAAAAACCTTCTCATTTTCGGGTCAGTGCTTAATTTGCTTTCAGCTGCCCACTCATTCCTTCTGGGTCACCTTCTGTTGCCCTACAACAGGCTGTTAATGAAGTGACTGTTTCCAAACAAGGGTACAAAAACTAAATGAAATAATCTAAGACCATTTTCTGCCATTATATTTGCAAATCAAGCAGATGGTCTAAATATTGAAGCCATAAATTAGGCCATATGCAGGTTATACATCTCAGACCAATGAAATGTTTGCTGTGTGTACAGGTGGGGTCGCTGGAAGGATATTCTCAATCATGGGCGTTTTAAATGGCACCTGACGGAGAGAGACATGGAGGTGCTGTGCAGGGCTCTTCTGGTCTACTGTGTTCGCCATTATAAGGGAGACGATAAAATTAAGAGCTTCATCTGGGATCTGATCAGCAACAGGAATAAATTACATTTTAAAATATATTTAAATAGAAAACCATTATTTTAAATGGCAATAACATTTCAGAATATATATATGTATATATATATATTTATAAAAATCGTGATTTTTAAAAGCCAAAGCTTTGCATATATGAGCTCACCATGACTCAGATGGTGTAATGCAAGAGAATCAACTCATAGACTAGAGAGAGAATAGGGGTCATTTGAATATCAGCAGAGTCAAAACAGATGGGTTGCTTTAATGTGTGATTTTTAATGGGCACATTGTAGACGGTTTGCATATTGGTGACATTTAAGGAGTAAAATATTGAGACGGCAACACTTTCTGACTCATGTCTTTGTCTCTGCCAGGAGAGTCTGGTGATCGACACTCCTCGCGTACGGAAGCAGACGCGTCACTATAATTCGTTTGAGGACGATGAACTCATGGAGTTCTCTGAACTGGATAGTGACTCAGAGGAACGGCCCTGTCGCACAAGACGTCTCAACGATCGCAACAGACGCTACCTCCGAGCGGACTGCTTCAGAGTGGAGAAAAACCTTCTCATTTTCGGGTCAGTGCTTAATTTGCTTTCAGCTGCCCACTCATTCCTTCTGGGTCACCTTCTGTTGCCCTACAACAGGCTGTTAATGAAGTGACTGTTTCCAAACAAGGGTACAAAAACTAAATGAAATAATCTAAGACCATTTTCTGCCATTATATTTGCAAATCAAGCAGATGGTCTAAATATTGAAGCCATAAATTAGGCCATATGCAGGTTATACATCTCAGACCAATGAAATGTTTGCTGTGTGTACAGGTGGGGTCGCTGGAAGGATATTCTCAATCATGGGCGTTTTAAATGGCACCTGACGGAGAGAGACATGGAGGTGCTGTGCAGGGCTCTTCTGGTCTACTGTGTTCGCCATTATAAGGGAGACGATAAAATTAAGAGCTTCATCTGGGATCTGATCACACCCACTAAAGACGGACACAATCAAGCACTACAAAACCACTCAGGTTATTAATGATTTTGTTCACATCCTCAGTAATTTTTTATCAATTCATTCATTCATTCTTTTTGAGATGACTTTATTCAGGAACTTTTGTCATCTAAATAAAACAATAAATAAATCCGTTAATCATTAACATTAATGTTGCACCATGCTTGTGCAGGTCTCCAAAGAGTTTTAAAGGATTTTTGTTACATTTTCAAAATGTAAAAATGGAAACATTTAATTAAATGTAAGGAATTAATTGATTACTAAATAATCAGTGAATATTAAATTTAAATTTTATAGTTTAATTTGTTTGCCACCAATTCAAATAATAATTAAATTGATGATCAGTTTAATTTTGTTTCAGCTGATCAATGTTAGTGTAAGTGTTTAATGTTTAGTTTACCAGAAAATACATTTGTTTAGTTTTTTGCCATATTATTTTTATAACAACAATCAAACAACC